TCAGAAATTATCACTTAAACTATTTAAAAAGTTTCTATTATGATAAGATAATTTAAGAGTAATTTCAATGTTAGCTCTTCCCCTTTGTAAGTTTTATTTTTTTTTTAACTAGAGGACCCATGCATAATCACTTCTAGAGGCTATTTATTTAAATAGGTGCCTTCAGCTAGAAGTTTGAATTTGTGTTTGCTCTTATCCCTCTCAATGTTAAGCAGATTTTCTTGAATCTTTATCATTCAAATAGAGGCCTGGTGCATGAAATTCGTGCACGGGGATGGGGGGTCCCCTAAGCCCAGCCTGCACCCTCTCTAATCTGGGACCCCTCTCACAATCCTGGACCACTGGCTCCTAATTGCTCCCCTGCCTGCCTGCTTGGTTGCCCCTAACTGCCACCCCTGCTGGCCCGATCACCCCTCACTAACTATGCATGCTGGCCTGGTCGCCTCTAACTGCCCGCCCCCCCCCCGCTGGCCTGGTCTCCCCCAACTGCCCCCATGCCAGCCTAGTCACCCCTCACTGCCCCCCTTCCAGCCTAATCGCCCCCAACTGCCCCCCCCGCTGGCCTGGTTGCCCCAAAATGCACCCCCTCCTCACCGCCAGCCTGGTCACCCCTAACTGTCCTTCCTGCTGGCCTGATCGCCTCTTACTCCCCCCCTCCCCCCTGCTGGCCTGGTCACCTCCAACTGCCCTTCCTGCTGCCTGGTTGTCCCTCATGGCCCTCCCGCCAGCCTGATCGCCCCATGCAGCCTGTTTGTTCAGTCATTTGGTCGTCCCTCACTAACTCCCCTGCTGGCCTGGTCATAGGCAGCCATCTTGTGAGGGCATGAGGGTTAATTTGCATATTACCTCTTTATTATATAGGATTAGAGGCCCTGCATGCACAAAATCATGTGTCGTTAGGATCCACAGGCCCAGCCTGGCCTCCGTCGCTGGCCTCTGCCACCTTGTGATACTATGTGAAACTCCCCACCCTGGGACGCTCCACGATGCTCGCAGCCCCTCGAATGCTCCACAAGGCTCCCCCAGCCCCGCCACTGCTCTGTGAAACTCCCCCAACCCCGTGACTGCTCCGCCAGGCTCCCCCACCCTGTGACTGCTCCACAAAACTCCCCTGCCCTGTGACTGCTCTGCGAAACTCTGCTAAACTCACTGCAGTCCTGTGAAGCAGCCCGCCGCCACTCAACAGTCCCTAGTCCTGCCCACCGCCACCTCCCCCTCAAAGCGAACAGCTCAGGGGCCAGAGGGCGGGGTGCTCCGTGCACTTCATGGTGACCGGTCATCCGTTCAGTCATGATGACACCTGTCTCTTTATATATTAGAATTCCTACCCTGGCATTCTCATGAGGTTCACAATTCTATAGAATGCCTTCTTGAATGGTCATACCTCATTACCCCTATAGCTTGTTCACCTATATATGTGGACGTTTTTGACTCCAAAGAATGATCAAGAAAGAGGCAACATTGAGTGAGAAAGGTTCTTTTTCTTTTTTAAAGACAAATCTGGACACAATCCCAGATTATGCATCAGCCCTATTAATTTAGACCTCAGCTGGGAAAGTTCTGGAGAATAATAACTCCATTTATTTATAATGGAGGGGCTCATTATTTTTCTTCCTGGAAAACATCTGTTTTTATAGTCCTTCTCAGACCATATTAGTTAAAAGGCAGCATCTGTAGAATCAGGTTGTAGTTACATGGTTGGAGCTATTATTATAAACATAGTAAGGGTCTCTTTATACTAATAATTATAATAAACCTGTTTTCAAAACTATGTGTCAGGCATCATGCTAAGCATTAATAACCTTACACAAAAATTCGATATAAACTCTAGTATTAACTTTATTTTCAAATGAGAAGGTTTCATCCTAGCTGGTTAGACTCAGTGGATAGAGTGTTGGCCTGATAAGCTAGGTTAAATAATTTGCCCAATGGCATAAAATAGTGACAGAGGCAAGATATAAATCAAATAAACAGACCTGGTAATTTCTAATTCCCAAGTACATATTCTAGTTTCTCTACTCTGTTTAACCTCTCTGTGGCTAAGTTGGTTTCCTGAAGTCTGAAAACACACACACACACAAAAAAAACAACAACAAAAAAAAAACACCACATAGGGTCCCAGGTTCCATTCCGCAGGTACCTTGGTTGCAGATTCCTTCCCAGCCTGGGCCCTGGTCAGGGCTCCTGCGGAGGCAATTAATTGATGTGTTTCTCTCACATTAATGTTTCTCTCTGTCTTTCCCTCTCCTATTCTCTCTAAAAATCAATGGAAAAGTATCTTCAGGTGAGGATTTAAAAAAGGGAGAAAATGAGTCATGGGCACATAGACAGGCAATGCTGCCACTGACCATTTGAGAGACTAGTTTTCTAGTGGAGGAACTCGGTGAAGGCTTACTGGTCAACATAAACAGGAAAGTGTTTGCAACAAAATGATAACAATGTCCCAGAGGAAGTGGTGCTGGCAAAAAACAAACAAAAAAAAAAAAAAAAACAACAACAACAAAAACACCACATCACTGACACTTTTAAATGAGACCAATTTAAGTACTGTTCTGGCATCCAATAGGTGATAATATTAAGAGAATTATTGGTGCAATTCTGGAAAGTAGCATTCCTTCTAAGCAAGTATCCCTTATCCTTTCATTTGATGTATTTTCCCTCCTAGCTGGCCCAGTAATAGCAATGTCAGTAATACAGCACGTTGAGGCTTGGATAATTTCTTTCTTAGTATGAAGCAGTGCTATAAATAAGCAAACCAAACAACTTACTATATATGTCACCTTCCCTTGAAGAAACTTTAATAAGGTCTATTTGTCTGATAGAGACAGAGAACAGAGAGGCAGAAAGAGAGACAGACACAGAGGGAGAAAGGCAAAGAATGAGGGGTAATTTTTTAAAAGGCCCTATTGCATGACCAAATCAAAAAGGAGTAAAATTCTATTATGATGACATCTAATGGGCCAAATATATTCTTTTCCCCAGTGATTTATTGGAAGGACTTAAAATTTTCTTAGAGAGTTTTTTTCTTACTAAACTAGTAAGATTTGGGTCATAGGATTAGAGTCCCATTAGAGTTCCATTAGGCAGAGTTCACAGTGCTCTGGAGAAATGATGAATTGAGGCCTGAGAGGGATTTTCCTGGCAAGAGAACTGGTGTCTCTGCTGGTTGGAGCTTGTCCAGCCCTTCATATCCTCTACAGGTACGCTATGAAATTCACATTTTGTTTAAAGTTCCTATGCTACTAAAGTGCAAGATGTAAAACACGGGCTATGTTAGGTGTCATGCAGATGTGTGACTCAGTTTGTTTCCTTTTCATAAAGCTTTAAAAGAATATAAAAAGAGATCACTTGCTTATTAAGTTGATTTATGCCAGTTATTACTCTTAAAACATCATCTCCCTGTCCTTGCTGGTGTGGCTCAGTTGATTGAGCATCTTCCCATACACCAAAAGGTCGGGGATTCAATTCACAGTCAGAGCACATATCCAGGTTGTAGGTTCGATCCCTGGTCAGGAGGCAACCAGTTGATGTTTCCCTCTTACATCAACGTTCCTCTCTTTCTCTCCCTCTCCCTTCTTCTCTCTCTAAAATCAATAAAATTGTATTTAAAAATAATAAAAACGTCATCTCCCTCACTCATTCTCAAATCACATTAATTACTTATCAGCCTTCTTCTACCATATTTAATCATCTATCCATCGATCTATTTATCTCCAAGTTACATATATAAAACACAGCCATACATAAGATTATGACTGAAGAAAGGTGATAAATATGGTTTGAAATATATGTGTATATATATATTTCATATATATATATTTACATATACTTTTTTTTATTCAGAGTAATGTGGCAGTGATTTATTTTCTAACAAGATCCAGTCTATACCATATATATTTGGGAAAATATATATATGGTAAATATATGGGAAAAATAAACTGATGATGGGATGGGAAATTTTATATTTTACATTTGTAATTTTTTCATAATAAATAATAGAAAGAACCTATATTCACTGAGTGCTGATAAAAATGAAAATGACAGCTTTTGCAAGGTTTTGCATTGCCCCTAGGTCTGGAAAATACAATCATCTTGTTGTGGGGGGTGAGGGGGATTGGAATGTGGAGCAGTGGAGAGATAAGCTATAGAAATTTTAGTATCTTTCCAAAGTCAGCCTTAGCTTCCGGCCCAATCATGGGGCATAGAAAACTGAGTCAGGATATTATGTGGCTTTCTGATCATTCAAAATAGATAATTTCATCTCTATGATTGCAGTACAATAAGCAATAGTATGAGTTTCCAGTTTAGGAACTTATGCTGTAGTAAAAGGTGGTTTAAAGTCTGCGACTACATTTTCGTTCATAGTCCCAGGTTCTTAACAATCAAAGATAAATGAACCGCCCTTGCCTTCAGTGCAAGTGAGGAGACAAAATGCACATACACACACCCTGGGGGAGGAAAAGGCAGCAAGCCTGAGCTCTCCTCAGTAGTTCAATTGAGGAGGGAGAGGCTCGTCTGGCGGTTTGTGGGAGTGAATCTAATTATCAGTCTCTTACTTTCATTAATAGGTTGAAGCAAGTTAACTTCTCAAAGGAAAAAGAAGTAGACATTATGCCTGAATTCTTAGCCTACATTATGATAGTTTAAGCATCACTTTCACAAAAATAGTGTGTGGGGTTTTATCCCCTTTCATAAGGCTGGGCAAGGTAGGCAAAAAGAACCACTATGGAAAAGGCAAAAACTGGTAAACATAGCCTACTTAGAGATAGGAGGGCAGAGCATTCTGCAAAATGGAAGATTTCACTATTATAAATTATAATGTACATCTATGCAGTCCAATTACCTAGACAAATCCTCAGGTGAAAATTTCCACTCTAATCCATTTTAATGGATTCCTATAACCTGGTGTCACTTCTCCTTTTCCACCAATAGTCTGAAGATAAAAATTAATTTGAGGATAGTCTATGTGTTTTGTAACAAATATTTTTTTGTTTTCTTAGCCTTACTAGCCAAAAATCTGATGATGACTATGAAGATTATGCTTCTAACAAAACATGGGTCTTGACACCCAAAGTTCCTGAGGGTGATGTCACTATTATCTTAAACAATCTCCTAGAAGGATATGACAATAAACTCCGACCTGATATAGGAGGTATGTTGAAGTCCTTTGTACCTTGGTGTGGATCGAAACTCATAAATATGCCTACCATATTAGAAGACAACACTAGCATATTTGATAACCAGAATTATTTAAATAAAACCTTCACTATATGTTATAAAAATAGATAAAAAAAATATAAGTAGCATTCTGGCTTGAAGGTAGGATGGGCATTGATAAGTTCAAATGAGGAAAGATGATTTTCAAGTGAGATTTGAGAGCTAGAAATTCAATTTTTGCTAGGTATCCCAGACAAAGGCTGTAGAAGAAAAGTGACAAGTTCTTTATGAAGAGACATAAAAAAAGCATATTATGATAAAGGAAGGATATACTTGTTACCTATTGCTGTGTAATAAACAACCACAAATTCTCAATGGCAAATTACAATAGGCATTTTCTTAGCACTTGTTAGGGGTGGTGATTTAATGTAAGCCAAACGGGCTGTTCATTAAGGAAATCTGTACTCTCTCTTATTTTACTCCTGGGACCAGCACACTAGCTGGGGGAGTATTCGTCTCATGATAATAGCAAAGAGCAAGAGAGAAAGTAGAAGCTCAAAGGCTTAAATGCTTGTGGTTAGAACTAGCACACTCACTTTTGTCTATATATTATTAGCCAAACCAAATCAGATAGTCAAGCCCAAAGTTCGAAGTAGAGAAGTAGCCTCAGTGAGGTGACAGCAAGGTTGTAGATACAGGGAATAGCAAAGAATTCAATCCACCACTGAGAATTAGGGCACACTTTCAAGGAAAGTGGATAAAAATGAGATACATGTTGAATTGAAGCCAGGAATGATATTATGAACCCTTGTTCATTAAACGTGAAAGGAAAATAGAGCATATGCATTTGCATTTAGTCATAAATGTAACACTTCATGATTTTTACTATCAGACCTCTTTGACAAATAGGTGTGTATTGGGTTTCCATATGGTTTCCTCATATTATTTGATGAGTCACAGAATCCATGAAGTCACTGAGGAAGATTGATTTTCTTTTGGCTAGAGGTATATTTGGATAAAGCGGTCACAAACGGAACCAACAGGTGCAAATATTCCAAAACAATTCACAATACTTGTTGCTCTTTATATCTACTTCATGTTTCTCATGCTTATTTTTATAGGTCACTAAGTAGTTATTTTTTTTCTAAATGGGGCAAGTCAGGTAATAATTCTCAAATAGATTTCAGAGCTTGAAGGAAAAATGGAAAAAATTCAGGATATCTGAAGGGGTTGGGGGGGGGGAATCTGAGGAGTTTTTTCTTATTTGTTTATCTTTACATAGTCTTGAAAGGAAAACCAGTTTTGAAACTCTACTATGCTTAGTTATAGCATTTACATGCTAAATGGAGATATTTCGTTGAAAACAGAGTCATTTAAAAGAAGAGAATTAGTCAGTGGCACTAAATTAGTGGTAAATAAACCACTTCTAAAATGACAAAGTAAATGTATTTCTAGAATAGCACAGTTTAAAATATTGTGCTTCTCTGTGGTTCTCTTTACAGTGAAGCCAACATTAATTCACACAGACATGTATGTGAATAGCATCGGTCCAGTGAATGCTATCAATATGGTAAGTTTCTAATAGTTTGTCTATATTATTAGCATACTAAAGGGTCCATGTGGTATGATGAAAATAGCAATAAATATGCCAAATGCTCTATCAGAAGGGAGAATCTTTCAGTTTTTCTCTCTTGCAACATAAGGATAATTTTAATGATTTGTTATGAGAATTAAATGTGATCATATGTATAAAATTAATTTGTGTAAAATGTTATATTTAAAATTCAATAACCGTTTACTTGGTAAGTACTGCTTACTACAAAATACAATATAGGGCTCCACTGCTTTTTAGAATAGTGTTGGTGTGGAGAAGGCATAGTTTGCTTCAAATCAGAACTGTTTCTCAGAGGAAATAATTGATTAGTTGTAACAATAAATGCAAGTTATTATTGTGTAACACTTTCTATCCAAATCTGAAATGAGAAACTAAATTGGAGTCTATAGTATAACATCATATAATATAACATAACATCGTAATGCTAACACCTTAAAATAGTGTTTACCAAGCTAGCAATTAGTACACTCTACTGAGTCAAAAATATGAGGAACTTTAATTGCTCTCAATTGGGGTGATTAAAAAGTATACCACCACCTGCATAATTCACAAAAATAAGCTTACTTATTTAACCATTAAACAAATGCCAACACATTTCTTCTTTACATCTAAAACTCTCAGAATATTTAGCATTTTGATGCAAACTATAAATCTAAGAAGGCATAGAACTTTTACTTTCCAGAATACTAGTCCCCAGAGCTACTGGTTTGATTAATCTTAAAGCTCTTATTTTTAATTTTCATTATTTATTTGTATGTGTTTTGCCAAAGTGTACATCAGAAATTGTTAATTTACTTTCCTTACTGGCATTAATTCATTGACAACGAATTTCACAAGATAGGTTCCCTTCTCATGCTGTATAGACTGCAAATATGGAATTCAATGGTGAACCAAGTGCCATGTCTTACCCCAGTGGAAATGTAGTCAAGTGCAATGAGGTGTGGCAGCAGGAGGTACTGGGAAATAATACAGAACAGTAAGGATGAGGCAAAGTAATGATAGTCAAACTAGAATTTGGGTGTTCTGATGCCAGGCCTCATGGTCTGAATTCACATCATATTTAATTCTCTTTGATTACAGTCAATCACTTGCCACTTTAGTGGTATGCCCTTGAGAATAATCATTGCGGAGTAATTAATCACCACAGCAATGTGGCATTTTGGGAATACGCTTTGTGATAGAGATTAGTAAAGTGTTAAAATTATTTGGAATTGGTTTATTTCTTCTTGTTTGGAGGAAAAGACAACAACTATAATAGTTTTGTGTGTTTTTTTAAAGGTTACCTTGTATATTATATTGGTGTTTGCTATCTGCCAGGCACACTGAAAAGCACTTGATGTGTGTTCTCTTTTTCTGTCCTCACACCACCTAGCAAGATAGATTCTTTAGGGTCCCCATGTTATTATGAGGTGACTGAGGCTCCACAGCTCCAGTTTAGGACTGTGTTAAGTATTCTTCACTTTCACTCTACAGCAGAGGTTCTCAACCCAAGTGATTGTCTTCACTGAAACATTTAGTAATGTCTAGAGGTATTGTTTAGTTGTCACAACTTGGTGGGTGAGGTTTGTGTTGGTGCTACTGGCATCTAGTGAGTAGAGGCTAGGTATGCTCCTATCTTAAAATACACAAGACAGCCCCCAAAACAACATATTAGATAGCCCAAATAACATGAGAAACTCTGCTCTATCAACATCAAATGCAAACAAATGTACCAGGGCTCTGATCTTTTGCCAGAATTTATTTAGACCATCCTTTTTATTGTTTATTTTCTTTCATAAAAATATCAACTCGTCTACCAGAGATAGTGAGTCTCCTTAGCAAAGTCTTTGCTTTCTTTTGGACTATTCAAAGCCAAAGTGTAGCTCAAAATAGCAATGAGAACAAAGATGACAAATACCAAAAAAAAAAAAATGCTCTACAATATAACCCAACTGAAATATAAATATTGTGATTCATCTTTTTCTTTGTAACAGGAATATACAATTGATATATTTTTTGCCCAAACATGGTATGACAGACGTTTGAAATTCAACAGCACCATTAAAGTCCTCCGATTGAATAGCAACATGGTGGGGAAAATCTGGATTCCAGACACTTTCTTCAGAAATTCAAAAAAGGCTGATGCACATTGGATAACCACCCCCAATAGGATGCTGAGAATTTGGAATGATGGTCGAGTGCTCTACACCTTAAGGTATTCTTTCAGAAGAAAAAAAAAAAGAGTAATTGCTGGGAGTAAAACCAAGATCAACCACACTCTCCTTGAGACCAAACACACACACACACACAAAACCGCCAAGCCAACATCAGGGTTGCCATGTTTGAACAAAATAGTATGTGACACTACAAAATTAGTTTTCTTTCTGTTGTCAGTAAGCTTTTTCAAAGGACTAGAAATAGGTGAAACTTATTTTCTATGACTGATGTGAGAACTCTTTTTTTCCTCACAAGCACATAAAATTTTCCTTGCCTTTGTAAGATCACCTGATCTTGCATCAATCTTGGCTTTTGTGTGTGTGTGTCCTGCTACTTTAAAATATGGAAACTAAAACATAGTCATCCTTAGGACTACTAGTTGTTATGCTTGGAAATGTCTCTGTTTCCAAGGAAACTGTTGCAAAAGAAGATTTTTTTTTTATATGCAGAAGTCTCCTGTATGTCTTTCTCTTTTTAGCTACACAATGGCAAGTACCTAGAATGAATTCCATCTCCCAGCACCAACTCCCCACTACACTTGTAGGCTGTTTGAATTAATTTACTGGCTATTTTGAAAGACATCTTTAGGGAAAACTTGGAGCTTTTTTTATTTTCTGAAGTTAAACATTAATATTTGGGAGGTTTTCTATGCCATTATCTTAGCATAATACTTAGATGTATTTAAAATAATTCTATGCTGGATTTTTTTTTTCATTGGTGAGCAGATATTACTAAATAATATAATAGAGAAGTACATAGGCTTAAAAATTAGACAAACCTGGCTTTAGTTCCTAGCTCTACAGCATACTATCTATATGTACTAGGGCAACTCTTCAGAATTTCTTTGTACAGGACTTGGGGGCAGCTATCTGTAGCAGGAGTCTTAGTACTAGATAGAAGATATATCTCAAAGCCTTATTTGTACAGTAAGTTTGATGTTTTTAGTTGGTTACACTTTTATTGAGAGGATTTAGGTGGGAAATGATGGGGATTATTCGGAAGGAAGGCATGACCACTCCACAACACACTCCCCATCCAACTGAGCTAACTCTTACATTTAATTTGATTTCTATAAAATAGAGATGATGATTCTTATGGAGTTGTTAGAAGGACTAAACAGTGTGATAAGAAACGTGCTTAGACTCTGACATATAGTAAGCATAGCAGAGACTAAATTTATTCATAAATATTTTTAGTAAAAGATATAAATATGATTCTTCTAGGTCTTAGCATCCTAGAACTTTTAACTTCCAAATGATTCATGTTAAATGCCCTTGTGACATATGCATAATGCCTTACATAATAGTCAACAAAGAAAATAAAATACTTTAAAATGGCTTCAAACATTTATATCAGTTAAATAGAGTTGATCACTAGGAATAAATGGCTTTAAGTATAGAAGGAAGTCATCATATATATTTTGAACTCATCATGAGTTTTATTAAATTAGACATACAGCGATGACTGTAATTAGCATCTAGTGGAACTCAAAGTTTGATAAATTGGGGCTTGGTCTAAACTTTTGAAGTATTAAGTTACACTATCTCAAGTTCCTTTATATTCTCATAACATTATAGTCATTTTTCTCACTTCCCTTGATTTGCAGAATCACTACACAATTTTTAATTATGGAAACCACCTCAAAAATGTCACTCATAAAATTTAATCAAAGTTTGAGTGAGTTGCCAATCTATGCTGAGAGATGATTTTATTATTGTTCTTATCTATAATTCATTATGAATGTGTGTGCATAGATATATATGTACGTATCTATCTTGGTTTCTGCAAATGATCTATATTGTTTTCAATTTTAATAATTCTAGTTTAATTTGGAAACATACTAAATATATCAAATTTAATTAAAGTTTTACATATGAATAAAACTAATCTTTTCTTTGAGGGAGCATATAATATTGAGTGACAATGATTAAAACCTCCAGCTTTGGAGACACATCATAATCTTGGGTTCAGATCTCAACTGTGCCACTAGTTTGGTGACTTTGGTCAAGTTCAAAGAAAATAAAGCCATAATAATGCTTATTAAATGATAGAACAATTCACCTTTGCCCCGTGCCATATAAACAATTAATGGCTTAGTGATTATTAGTTTTATTTCAAGATCAGTAATTGCTCTACTATACTACAGAAAAATAAAATCTCCCAAATGAAAAGGCATGCTAAACTGCAAAATCTTTTAAATTAACAAATGTTCATCAAACAACATTTTTATTACTTCAAGGTTGATATCATTGTAAGAAATATAGCTAGAAAAATGTGAAATTTAAAATATCAATCCATCACTAGTACAATTTTAGAGTATGTTCATACTTTCTCCTAAAGTGATCAAAACATCTGAACACCTTTAATTTTTCTCCCTTCTAGAGATCTAGCCCATTGGGATCCAGAAAACCTATATGTTTAATAAGTATTCCCAGATGTAAACTATTTGAAACTCATTGGCAGACATATTCCTAGTATGTCTGTGTATATTTATTCAACATTTCCTGTTTGCCATTAGATATTTTTCTACTTTATAAAACCCTAGTTAATGGCGTCATGGTGTTCCATTATAAAATGCATAATACCCTACTGTGAAACATAGGTATTTTTAAACTCACATATAGTAATTTAATGCTAACAGCTAACAAGTACTTAAAAAAAGTTCTGCTTTAATTACCAGATAAAATCTGAGAATTATCAGCAATCATTTATATGCAAACAGTAAATGAACTTAAGTTCTTAAAACAATTTGTTCTGTTAAATATATTCACTGAACAATTTCATGTGTGCAATTAATTTGCCAAAAAAAATATTGTGATCATAAGGTTTGAAAAAAATGGAGTTGAGGTCAATGAAAATGTTCAGTTTGTGAAAATGAAGGGACCACATTAGGTCTTAAATGCTTTTCTCCTGGACTCTGTGGATTTTTTCAGTGAGAATCATCTTGTGTTAGCCATAAGAATGTAAGATATACTCCCCAAGAATGAAGATGGAGAATGGTCATTAGAAATTGTGCTAATGTGCATTTTTAAAACTATGTCTAAAAAATTTTAGTTATCTTTCATATGTTTCTGTTTAGGTTGACAATTGATGCTGAGTGCCAATTACAGTTGCACAATTTTCCAATGGATGAACACTCCTGCCCCTTGGAGTTCTCCAGTTGTAAGTAACACTCATTCTGTGGTCTGTAGCTCCTCTCACCAATAGTCTAATTGCATTGTTAATTAATTGGGAGATTTACAGAAAATACAAAATTGCATTAAGCAATGTTGTTTTATCTGAAGATTTTGACAGTTTCTTTCAACATAATACCAGCTTGGTCTTTTTAGAGTGATTCTTGCAGAAAAGGGTCTAATTTATCAGGAGTTACAAATAAGTTTCATTGATGTATAAACTTTTAATAAATTGGCAGTGGTTGCTAGGAGTCCTTTGTTGAGGAGAACTGTAAAACCAGGCCTGTGCTGAATAGAAAGGGGTAATGGTGGATTATACATCTCCCGCCCTCCATGGGCCCAGGAGAATAGCAGCACATTTGTTACTTATTTTCTCCCTTACCTGTCAGGCTGCACAGAGATCCAACAGTGCGGTTTGCACATTCCAATTCTGTATACCTGTTAAAGACAACAAAATTAATGACTACCTCCCCCTCTTGGAATTCTAGTAATACCTAGAACTAGTTATCCACCAGTGAGTAAAAGGCTGATTATGGGCATTCCATAGTCCAGTTCAAATTCCAACTCTATCAACATAGACTTGAGCAAATTACTAAATCTCTCATCAGTGAGTCCACATTCCCAGACACCCAAGAGAGATTATAAGACCTGCCCAGCACAATACTCTTTTGTTTGTAAAATGCTTGGTATGCTATCTCAATACACAAGATTCAATAAAAACCTCTATTATTTTTCTTAATTATTATTACCATAATCAGATAATAGACTATAGTAAAAAGATTCATGATGATTCTAGCATAAATTACAATAAGCTTTAGTAACCTTCACATATTTCCTGCCTGAATTAAAAACAAATATTTGTCTCACTACTTGTTCAGCAAACGTGTTAGGTTGCTCACCTCCTCCTTATTATTGATCTGCCAACTGTACATATAAAACAATGAAAACTGATTATGAATTTTAATTTTTTTAGTTTCATAAATATAATTTTCCAGCCTTGGATTGAAGGAGACTCCTAAGAACCAATTAAATCATAATAGCCATCATTTAAAAAAATCAGTGATGAAGCCCGGCTAGCTCAGTCAGTAGAGCATGAGACTCTTAAAAAAATCAGTGATGAGAGAATCAATTGTTATTTTATCACTACAGCAATTCCAGATGGAACTAAAGGAAAAGCATCACTGTATCTTATATAATAAAAGCCTAATATGCTAATTATCTAGTCATCCAGTTGTCCGTTCAACCAATCAAAGCATAATATGCAAATGATATGCTAAGGTCACTCAACCGTTCGCTATGACATGCACTGACCATCAGGGGGCAGACGTTCTGACCAGTCAGTTAGCTTGCTGCTGGGGTCCAGCAGATCAGGACTGAGCGAGATGGCTGGACATGCCCTGGAGCCCTCCCACAGTCCCTCCCCAGCTGGCCAACCTCCCACATCACTCCCCAGGCCCAATCATGCACCAGTGGGGTCCCTTGGCCTGGTCTGTGCCCTTTCACAATTGGGACCCCTCAGGGGATGTCGGAGAGCCAGTTTTGGTCCGACCCTGCAAGCCAGGCCAAGCGTGCACGAATTCATGCACCAGGCCTCTAGCATCATATAAACAGGGTTGTGCAAAGTAGATTTATAGTTATTCATATAAAAATACAATAATTTATAAATAATAATATAAGAATAAGCTCTGCCTTGTAATACTCACAACTGTAAACCCACTTTTCCCCCACCCTGTATTTACAAAAGGTTTTACTATAAAACTTATTTCATATGTTTTACTTCATCCAAGAATGGAATATTTTTAAGTGAAAACTTCCCCAAGCTTTAGAAGATTAGATTTATTTTCCTTTAATCTTTCAACTGGGACTACTCCTGAATCAGCTAAGCTTAAGAACTGGTGACTTTTGTGCCTTTACATCACCAATTGACAACCATCTTCTGAACCCAAACACAACTTAATATTACTTATTGCTATCAAAAATTAAATCATAATTACATTCTCCATAGGAAGTTCCTTAATATCATCATTATTTTCCTGTTTCCAGCACATCCTGCCTCCCCACCCCTGCTCTATCAGGGCATACTGCTTTCTCTTTTCCTTCTTCTTAATTAATAAATACACAACAGACACAGAGTTGGACCAAAAGGAAACGAAGGAAAGGAAGACACCAATAATTTTTTGCTAAGTAGTGAATCAGCCTCCGTAATCAAGACTCATCTTTCATAGCATTATTAGTAGACAAACAGTTGAGATGCTTTCTAATTTTTTAAAATCTCTCCCTATTTAACTAATTTTTAATTGAAAGTTTATTGTATTGTTTACTTAATAGTAATGTTTATCCATTAAGTATACATTGATCATTAATTTCATGAAATAAGTATTATCATAACCACCATAAGGAAGCAAATAATTTGTAAAAAATTAAGAAACTTGTCTAGGGCCGTGGTCAGCAAACTGCGGCTCGTAAGCCACATGTGGCTCTTTGGCCCGTTGAGTGTGGCTCTTTTTAAACCTTAGGAGTACCCTAATTAAGTTACTACCTATATAGTTTAAGTTTAAAAATTTGGCTCTCAAAAGAAATTTGAATCGTTGTACTGTTGATATTTGGCTCTGTTGACTGATGAGTTTGCCGACCACTGGTCTAGCGTATTTGGCAAAGAAATGGTACTGATAGTCACTGCATTATCATTATAGATTTCTGTGTATACTAAAATGAAAACCAAACAAAATGAGAGAGAGAATAATTAATGTAAATAGTTGAGGTTATTTTCCCCACCACCTTCTACTAAGGGTGCATGTCCTGGAGAGGAACTTAAGGCTGCTCTTCTCTCAATATTTTCTGTTTCTGCATGATTCCCCTTCCCTGGTTGACTACCCTTCATGCTGAAACAATATCTTACATATGTACGGTCTGTTTATACTGACCACATATATCTCACCCCAATGCAGACTGTGCATATAGTATTTATTAAACCATGTATAGTATATCTGCTTTGCAATTTAAGTGACTTGCAGGGATGCTTTTAGCCTCATAATGTTTAAATCTAACTTCCCTTTAGGATAGAATGTCACTGTATTTATTTTCTCTACGGTGAGACTCTTTAGTTCAGGGTTCTCATTAAGTCATAACTTTATCTCTCTCAGCACATTCTTTGGTGTCTTGTTCCTGGAAGGGGGTTGCTACATATGTTCATTTGTAATCATTTTAAACATGTGCTTTCCCACCTCTTGGCAGATGGCTATCCACGGGAAGAAATTGTCTACCAATGGAAGCGTAACTCTGTTGAAGTGGGTGACACAAGATCTTGGAGGCTTTATCAATTTTCATTTGTTGGACTGAGAAATACCACAGATGTAGTGAAGACAACTTCTGGTAAGATGCATTTAAAGAGAATTCTAAATGACCCTTTAAGAGCTAACATTGTGGTGTATATGATCCAGAAGGCTTTTCAGTAGTTGTCTACAGGTGATATTCAGAAAATTAAAGTGTTTTAATTTACTACAGAAAATTATAATTGGCATTCTTCTATAATCGAATATATATAAATGGATTATTTCAAGCTGAAGCAAATTGAATTCAAATTGGATTAGTAAATTATTTGCTTACTTTCTTTAAGGAAGAATAAGCAGCAATTATTTAAAAAGAAAATATTTAGTAGGTATAGATATAATGCTTCATTTAAGAAATGTTTCATAACATATTGAAGTAGAAGCATTTAAAGTAATTGCACAGAAAAAATCAATTGTGCAAAAATGTAGAAAAGTGACCATAGTGAATATGGACTAATTCTCCATTCAATAATTTAATCTTTTGAACTGACTCCATCACTGGAGTACCAAATAGGTCTGGGTTCAAACCCCAGCTTCATCAATTACCAGCTGTTGATACTGAGAAATTATTGAAATTCTCAGGGCATCAGTTTTCCCAGATAACTAACGTGAACAAAAAGAGCTGTACCACAGGCTTATGTGTAGGAGGAAAAAAGTAAAGTGCTTCCAATTTCAAATATAAACCTTGTGTTCTCCTATTACCATTTATTAAGACATGTATTTCAATTGGTTGAGCTGTTTTCTGTTGATTTACTCACATATACCTGATTTCCCCTCCACACCTACCCTGGATTTTGTAAGACACAGTGACACAGTTTTCTGCTGACTTATAGGGAATAAGGCCTTGGTCTTTTGTACAGAAGCAAATTTAAGACCTATACAAAAATGGAAATTTAAGATTCTACCTTCAAAAAAACCATCCTCAAATTCAAAGAGCTATCTGGCCCTCACATTGTTATTGGCGTTTTCAGATTTCTCCTAAATATTCTTTTATTTTCAAAAAAAAACCCGAATTAGGGTCAAAGAAATGCTCAAATACACATTTTTAAAAGGGGCCTTCTGCTCCATTATTCACTAAAAACTCTGACCATCAAGTACTAAAACAGTGTTTCATTTGGTGCCAAAAAAAGATTCAGGATTGCCTTAGAAGTAAAATCTTCCATCTGTGGAAGGAAGAACATGTGTAAAAATAATCTCTAAGTCTGCACACTTCCAGAATGTGAAATTGAACATCAAGTTCTGTTGTACATTCATATCTATAATTATTTCAGTACCCTAAAACAGAACCCACAAAGTCATGACTAGCCAATCTTTTGTTCAGTTATTTGAGCTCAGAGTTGCATTAAAACCAAAAGGTGATGAGGAAGGGGTTGGCTTTTATCACAGGGGCTAACATCATCCCCTTCCCACTGTCTCATATTGAGGACGATCGAGAGTATTTACTGTCTCTTTAGAGATGCTGCTAGAAGAAAGTGATCCACTTACTGAAAGCACAGCAAGAAATATCACCCAGGTGTCACACTGCTATTAATCTTCCTAGGGAAATCCAAGCAAAAGTGCTAAATACCAGATTTGATACTGAGTAGCATCATCTAATTGATCACTTCTTCTCAATGAAAATTTTAATATTGTAGTTAGTCTTTGCATTGGTCTTCCTGTCCACTCCCTGCTCTTGCTGGTTTGTATTTGTGGGCAGTTCCATTACAGTTGCCTCTGTGAAGAGGGCTGAACTGAAACTGAACACCAGTGCTGAGAGGCAGCCCGATTCTTGTGATGGTTGATTTTGTAATGACTGGAATTTTCCACATGGTCTTTTGTTTGATGCCTGATGTCATTCCTATCTTCAAGCATAGCTCCATAATTAGTTAACATCCACAAAGTTATGTTAACAACTTTCTTGAAATATCAAATTTCTAGTTCTAGTTCTTTTTCATCTTAGCCATTATTGCAATATGGTTTTCTCCTAGACTTATATGAAATGTTTTCCTTTAAGAGCCTTTGTGGAAATAGGGTGAGAATATTGCTTAAACTGGTACCTAGCTTACTGTAGATTTCTAACCTTCAGTCAGTCAAGCCTACCTTTCATGACTTTGTTAAGCAAAGTGACTCTACTACTGGTTCCTTAGTATTTTTTCTTCTTTAAATTGATTTATTATTTTTAGTTATAAAATTTTTAAAGAAAAGTTCATATTAGGGCCATAATTATAAATTAGAAGCATTTGATATGTAAATTTATATCAAAATTTCATTAAAAAACATGTTTTTGTATTATTTAAAATGTTCTTAAATGTTAAGTGCATATATATTTGTGTTCCCCAGACTCTGAATATGTTGAAAAAGAAACAGAAAGAGAGGTATTAGAAAGAAGAGCAAAATACAGCTATTACCAAAGTAAAAACATACTTGATGTAAACAGAACAGAGAAAGCATTTCATAGGAAATAATTTTCTCACCATGGAGACAACCCATGCATCCACCACTCAGATCATCTCCTACCACCAGTTGATCTGTATCACACTTGATTAAAACATTGCCTTGGTGACATTCTGATAAAACTTGAAGAAAGCCTTTAATCCATAGTCAACACATCAAAACAGATTATGGGTCCATAATTTCTTCTCCAAATCATCATGTCCTCCTGGTTAAACTATATCTGAAAATAGTGAGCCAGGCATGAACACTCGAAGAGTCACATCTCTGCCTCCCACACCTAATGAATCATAAAGGCACTTATGAAATATCTTGTGTAACTGTTCTCTATTTAGTTGCCATCGCCATAGTCTTAGTTCACGATGTTGTCTATTATCATCTGGACTATATTGGTAGCCGATTATGTCCGTCCCTGTTTTCAGTCTCTTCTACAATCTATTATTTACACATTAACCATAAAATCTAGCACTTACTGAGTACTAAATACATGCACCATAGCAAGAATTTTACATGAATGACCTACTTTAATTCTCATAACCATACTCATAGTTACTATCATTAACACTGAGGTAACATTGTGGATGAGGAAACTGAGATGTCTAGGGGTTCACTGACTAGCAGGGATCATTATGAAAGATAGGATATAAATTCAAGAGGCTTTCTGGCAGACTCAGGCTCTTAATCATTACACTATGTTACCCCCACCATGGCCCAGGTCGTCTGAAGCACAACTTGCATCTTGTCTCAAGAATTCAGTACATTCCATGAAGCACAAGCTATTGCTCCTAATATGTGAGCACCTGACCTCAAGAACTTCCCAGCTTTTTTTTTTCTATAATTTGCCAGCATGTGATAAAACTAATCTGTTCTGTTTTCTTGAATATATCTAGCCAATCTCACTGAATCTCAGCCCTTTTCTCTATCAAATGGTTTCTCCACTAATCCCCTTCTTCTTTGTGACTTTAAGGTTTAAATAAGCAGCACTTCCTCAATGAGGCCTTCACTGACCCTATCACCAAAACAAAGTCAAACAGTTTTTAAGAATGTGCACCCATGGAGTCAGGCAGCTCACCTTTGAATACTGGCTGGTATACATGATTTAATATAATTAAGTTCAATAATATTGCTGGGTTGCTCTGAGGATTAAGTAAGGTACTCCATTAAAATGCTGAAAACTTTGTCTAGCACATACAACTGACTCAGTATATAAAAGGCATTATCATCATCATCATTATCCCATTAATTCCCCTCAGAGCATTTTCATTCACCATATGAAATCACTAGAGGTCCGGTGCACAAAAATTTGTGCATTTTGAGGGGTCCCTCAGCCCAGCCTGTGCACTCTCGCAGTCTGGGACCCCTTGGGGGATGTCCACCTGCTGGCTTAGGGCCACTCCCCGGGAAATGGGCCTAAGATGGCAGTCAGACATCCCTCTGGCAGCATGGGAGCCCTCAGGGGATGTCCACTTGCCAGCGGGGAGCAGGCCTAAGCTGCAGTCGGACATCCTTTCCACTGCTGAGGAGGCGAGAGAGGCTCC